ATTATTAAATTAGTCATCGATTATTTTAATGATCGATTAGTCATCGATTAATCGTTGCAGCCTTGTTTTGTTGTTCAACTATTCTCTTGTYCCGCAGTTGTTTGTTTACTTTGAAGGCTCCTTTCCTCACTTTATATTTTTTTGTGTGTGGCAGGAGTATCCCATGCTTACAACGTTCTTTGTTGGTGAAATTATCAGCCCTAAGAGGCCTTTTTTAACTCGGAAGTGGGACGCGGATGAGGATGTGGACAGAAAACATTGGGTATGTCCTGTCAAGCTTGGCTCAGTTTATTGATTTTGTAGCGGGAAGATCTGTTCATAAATAAATCTTTATGAAAGGGTTGCCTCTCTTTACCAAAGCAGATTACTTGAGTTTTCGTTGGAAAGTTTTTGCCAAAAAAGGAAACGGGGTAAACAGTTCAGTTCAGATGTATTTCAGTGGTTGCTGTTCACGTTCTGCTCTCAGACCGGCACTCTATGCTTCAAAGCAGGTTCAGCTTACCCAAGGGTTTTGTAAAAGATCTGGTTCAACTAATCCTAGTAACGAGGAGTCGTGCTTAGTGGTACTGTGAAGCTGGCTTCGAAGTTCACAAGTCAACCCGTGGTTTCTGAGGATTCGAGTAAAAAGGATGGAGCTATGTTAGATAACAAGTCATGAAGCTGGAAGGAAAATAAAAAAGCAGAGAAATAAAAAAAATTATTAACTTCAAGCAAAACAACTACAGCTGTGTCATTAAAGTAGATCTAATTATTATTTTTTATGTTCTTCAGCTGCTTTTTTTAACATGAAAGATCTTTAATCTGTTTTAAATATTTTACTCTAAATGAAGAATCAAAATAAAATGGTTTAATATGCAACGACTGTTTATTTTGAACACATGTTCTGCCAATCAGTTTCTGTTGCATTAAACATGTTGCTGTGCTTTTAATCAAACTTTCAAATTCATTGATCTGTGTTTTTACTCTTTAAATAAAAAAAGTATACAAATCATTTGCTACACAAATACAGCAAGGTTTGATTATGATTGTTGTCGTTTGAGTTTATTTACAGACTCGGTTAGAATTTCGTTGGAGATTTTCTTTAGAAAAACAAAGGAAAGAGGCTGTTTTGATTTAGATTTTGAAAATGTTGTATGTACCTTTTTAGTTTATATCTTGTGTTCATGTCCTTCTCACTCAAAGACTGTTTATTTATGAACAAAATAAAAACTTTTTACAAGAGCAGTAGAAATGAAGATGCATGTTCAGATTCTCTCATCCTTTATAGTTATGCAGCGGGAAAAGTTTAAAGGGCTCGACACACGGGCAGTGACAAACTACAGCGATTAACAGCTGTCATCGCAGCCAGGGTGAAACCCGACACACGGAACGCGATCGCAGCGTTGYGAATCGCGCTCTCAGGTCGCTTGTCTTCACAAAATTTGATTGGTTCTTGACTCTGAAGGCGGGTGTGCATTACGGACGTGTAAACTAAACAAATCTTGCGA